AGAGGATAGCACCAGGAATTAAGTGGGCAATGCCATTATAGAAGCAGGTTTAAAGCTCAACTAGTTGCTTCGCAGGTAGGCTTACTTCATGTGCACCTCACTTGATCGTCCTTGAATCTTCATGGCATCTGATGTATTTGGTACTGGCCAAATAGAAGTTGTTCTCTACAGTTACAGTACTGATGTTCCCCACTATAGTACGAAACATTTCTTTTCATCATTCTTCTTATTTATACAGGGTAATGTGAGGTGATGCCAGACCAAAGGTTGTGAACAGATTTCTTCCCTGCCTGAAGGTAATCCAGTTAGATGATTATGCATGCATATTCAGTTCTGCCACGACGCTTCTTCCATATCAAGGCGTGTGGGCGCATCTAGAATTTCTTTAGAAGAACCTGGAGCACTTCCCCTTAACTAATATGTGCACCATAGTTATTTTTTCTTCATGAATCCTTGTCATCTGGTCAGGCATGGAGAGTAAGCTCACTATTATAGCGACACTCAACACTTAGTGACATGCTTATATTTATCTCCTTGTACTTGCAGGCATTTATATTTTCCTAGGAAAGGAAATTGTTGGTACTAGGTAGTTAATATCTATATATCTTGTTGCAGACACTGGTTAAGTAGGAAATCTGCACCCATGGATAAATTAGTAGCTGGGCTCTGACAGTAAAATATTGTGCATGTTGATGATATTCTTCCTGAAGACCACCCTCTCTGCCTTAATTTGTATAGGCACATACTTCTCCAGCAGCAGTGTTTTGGGCGATGGCTGTAACTGTAATCCATCATGAGCTTTCAAGAATTGGTGATCCTGAGGGTTAACCCTTCCTTATAGCATTGTGCCTGTTGTCATAGATCTTCTCCTTGTAGGTGCCATCATCTTTGTTTTCCTACTCCCAAGTTTCACTGCTACCTCCCCTTTCACATCAAAGTTGAACCAATCAGAATTTTGCACTTCCCCTACAGTTTCAGTTCAAAAAAAAAAATCACTTTCCCGTGCTCATCCACTTCATACATTATTGCTACTCTTACTGGATATAGTTTCATATGTATGTTGATGCACTAAAGTACAGGTTTAACACGTCCTCCTCATCTTTTGTTGTTTGTGGCATATCACTACAGTACCAGTTAGCAATCTACCTGGCTCGTGTCTCTGCTTCCCATTTTATCTAGGTCTTCTTTTTCTGAGAGATTATCTTGTGGCCTCCTTAATAATCAATATTTAGCAATGTATATGTGTTTCCTGTTTCTTTGTTTTGTTTTTGCTAATGTGTCAGATTGTTCTCTACGTTAGCTTGCAAGCTGCACCTGATTTTTAGAACAGCCTGAACATTGCTCCTCAAATTGAAGGGTTAATTTGATATATGCTACTGTATTCAAGAGATGCCATTGCAAAAAGGGGTCGATTCACAGTTTCCAAATGTTGGCAGTGGTATTTTTCTTAAGTTTTCTTCACAGTTGTATTTCTCAAATATGCGAAGTTGGTAGTGGCAAAAAGGGTTATTTCGATATATGGCACTGCCACAGTGGCATATATCAAAGTTGCCAAGTCAACTCGCAAGTCAACATATACGGCTGTTTGCCACATTTCATAATCAGTTAGAACAAGACGCGAAATTTTGCATGTAATCCTGGTGAGTGTCGGCTGTTCAGTCTAGCTTCGCCCTTGCTCACTGAGTGTGCGCTTGTCTGAGGCTAGGTGTTGGCTCGGCACTCAACTCGATCGAAGGGCAAGCAACCGCGCGTGAGAGAGATAAATTCTAGATGCGCACACATGCCGATATGTTGAATGGATTACCTTCAAGCAGGGGAGAAATCTTGTTCGCAACATCTGCTCTGGCATCACCTCACAATCACATTACCCTGTATAAATGAGAGGAATGGTGAGAAGAAATGCTTTGTACTATACTGAGGAACATCAGTACTGTAACTGTGCAGAGTACATACCACCTTTATTTGGCCTGTAGGAAATATGTCAGAGATGGACATGAAGATTCCAGGAAGATCAAGTGAGGTGCACATGGCCTCTTTGATTCATAGGATTTTAAAAACGTAGGAATAGGAAAAGTGTAGGGTTGGAGTGGCATGCCTATTTGAATCCTATAGAATTAGCAATGATTGTTTAATGCCACGGGAAAAACAAATGAATTGTAAAAAGAGGTTGGAGTGGATGTTAAATTTCCTATGAAATGTAGTACAAAAGATTCCATAGGAAAAATTCCTATGGGATCCAATCCTATGAATCAATGGACCAACATAGGAAAAAATCCTAAGGATTTTAATCCTCCAGAAATCCTGTAAAATTTCTTTGAATCAAAGAAGCCCGAAGTGAGCCTACCACTACCTGCGAAGCAAATAGGTGAGCTTTCAACTTGCTTCTACAACAGCATTGCCCACATAATTCCTGGTGATGTCCTCTGCTCAAGGAAATTTTGCTCTCTCAGTTATTGGCTTATGGATGGCAACAATGCAGTGCCCAAGAGGAGCACAATGTGGACCCTGAGACTGGCTATGACCATGAAGAAGTTATGGAGTATTTCTTAAATGGTTTGCACCTAAAGTGATAAAGATAATTCTAAAGATGGCAACAAAAGGACATAGAATCCAATTCGATATATGCTACTGCCAACTTCTTGTATTTGAAAAATGCAACCGTCAAGAGAACTTAAGAAAAATGTCACTGCCAACACTTGCTTGAAGGTAATCCATTCAACATATCGGCATGTGTGCGCATCTAGAATTTATCTCTCTCACGCGCGGTTGCTTGCCCTTCGATCGAGTTGAGTGCCGAGCCAACACCTAGCCTCAGACAAGCGCACACTCAGTGAGCAAGGGCGAAGCTAGACTGAACAGCCGACACTCACCAGGATTACATGCAAAATTTCGCGTCTTGTTCTAACTGATTATGAAATGTGGCAAACAGCCGTATATGTTGACTTGCGAGTTGTACCCTTGATTCTTA